GTGCGAGTGAACCACGGTGTGAGTTTGGGCGAAAGCAGTCCTAGGATGGGTGACCCCCCCCGGTGGAAGTTTCTCGTGCCGAAACCCAAAAACAAAACCGCGAGGGAATGGTAAGCCCAGAGTAGACAATATCGTGCTATGGTGGAGTCAAGCTGAGATGTGACAACCGTTGGTTAATCCAACGGTCCACGTTCAAATTTTTTTGTTTTGTTTTATATTTATATATTTATTTAATCAAATGGCTTAGATCGAATATAATCAAATCTAACAATGAAAAAAAAATCTAACGGTGTTTTGTATGTCCTTCACATGTGTTTTGTATGTGCTTCACAAGTGTTCTGTGTGTCTAGTGTGTTTCATGTATATTGTGTTTATAATCTCTATCATGATTTTCATATTCTTCCATAATGTTTTATGAGTTTAATGTATAGATTTAGTGATTTTTCAATATTTATCGAAATTTAAATATTTTTAGATTAAAATGTTCATAAAATTAATTTACGATAGTCTACATAATATTTTTTTAAGTTAATTTAAGAAAAAAAATTAGCCTAAATTCATTCTTTAATAATTTGGTGCGAAAATTTAAGGCCATAAGGGTTGGAACAAAAAAGTTGTTTCTGTGCTAAAACCTAAATTTTCAGAGCTAAAAATTTTAGGTTTTAGGCCAAGGGTTGAAAATGGTCTTATAACTTTATAAGACCAACTCCAATGGTGGGCTAAAAACCAAATTTCCCCATTTATTCCCCCCCCAAACACCAGCCAACCCATGCTAAAACACTAGGCTAAAAGCCAAATGCCAAAGCTGAGCCAAATACCCCCCCCAAATCCCCCCCCCCATGCGAGTGGACTCGCTAGCACTTGGGCTAGTCTCAGCCCACCCACGCTCCAACATGGCCCACGCGGTTGGCTTGCAAGGCTTTCCTGACAGGGGTGGGCCCCGTTGTCAGCTATATGTCGGCCAACATCATCATCCTAACGGCTATAATTTTAATCCAAGGGTTGGGCTTTAAGGACAGTTGGTTGATCCAACGGTCCAAATTCAAATTTAATTTTTTAGAATATGTTATTTTAAAATACATTGAATCCAACATCTGATATTGAATATAATCAAATCTAACGGTAAAAAAAAATAATCTAATGACCCAAATTTAAATCCAACAGCTAAAATAATTAAAAAAAAATATTTAACTCAAAATTCATCCAAAAACTCTATAAATACCTATGTATTTGTTCAAACATCCACACAAAACTCAATTTTCTCCTACAATTCTTCCAATTTATCTTTCTGCCATTTCTTTCCATTTCCAAATTGTTCAACATGGCAAGAGAGCATATTAGAGGTCGTAATATAGAGGATGATTGATGAAAGTTTGTGTGAACAACTACAATTGGACATAGAGGATGATTGGTGAATATAGATGATGATTGAAGGTTGAAAGGTTGTGTGATCAACTAATATTGGACATATGTTTATATAGATGATGATTGATGAAAGTTGAACAGTTGGTGAAAGTTGAAAGTTTGGTGTTGAACTGTTGGTGAATTGAAAGTTAGCCCAGGGTTGAAAGATTGGTGAAAGTTGAAGGCTTGGTTTGTGGAAAATTTAGTGATTTTTCAATATTTATCGGAATTTAAATATTTTTAGATAGATTAAAATGTTCATAAAATTAATTTACGATAGTCTACATAATTTTTTTTTAATTTAATTTAAGAAAAAAATAGCCTAAATTCATTCTTTAATAATCTCGGGCTAAAATTTTAAGTCATAAGGGTTGGAGAGAAAAATTGTTTCTGAGCTAAAAGCTAAATTTTACGTGCTAAAAAATTTGGCTTTTAGCCCAACCATTGGAGTTGGTCTAAGGGAAAAAAACCCAACTACACTTGGAGGTCGTAAAAGCTCCTTCTCTTCTGAAGTGCTTCCCTAAGACCAAACTCAACCTTGGGCTAAATGCTATTTTTTAGGTTTTATTCCCCCCCCCCCAAACCCAACCCAACCCAACCCATGCTAAATGTGTTGGCTAAAAGCTAAAAGTCAAACAAAAGTCAAATTTCCCTCAGGATCTAGCCCAGAAAATGGTGTGGGCACCACCAGCGGAACCCCACCCACATAGGCATGTCTCCTAGGATTTATTGAATCTAACGGCTGAGATCAAATATAATCAAATCTAACGGTCAAAAAATAAAAGATCTAACGGCCCAAATTTAAATCCAACAGCTAAAATAATTTAAAAAATAATTTAACTCAAAATTCACCCAAATTTAATGATTTTTCAATATTTATCGGAATTTAATTTTTTTTAGGTTAAAATGTTCATAAAATTAAATTATGATAGTGCACATAATTTTTTAAAAAAAAATTAGCCTAAATTTATTTTTTAATAATCTCAGGCTAAAAAATTTAGGTCATAAGGGTTGGAGCAGAAAATCTGTTTCTGGACTAAAACCTAAATTTTCTGGGTTAAAAATTTTAGGTCTTAGCCCAAGGGTTGGAGATGGTCTAAGGCTTTCTCCAACCCTAGGCTAAAAGCTAAATTTTAGCTTTTATTCCCCCCCCCCAAACTCTATCCAACCCAAGCTAAATGTGTGGGCTAAAACCTAAAAGCCAAATTCCGTCCAGAAAATAGCCCAACATTAGGTGTGGGCCCTACCCGTGTGACTGAAACGGGGCTGTTATGCCCCAAAGCCCCCACCCACTCACCAGACGCACAAGCACTCAGACCGATTAGGCCCCACCCACATGGGCCTGTCGACCACGTTCCCCAGGCGAGCCAACGGCTCTTTTGATCTGACGGATAGAATCAACAGGCCGTTGGTTGATCCAACAGCCTAGATTCAAACTTATTTTTTTCGTTTTATATTTATATATTTATTGAATCCAACGGCTGAGATCGAATATAATCAAATCTAACGGTAAAAAAAAAAGATCTAACAACCCAAATTTAAATCCAAAAGCTAAAATTATTTAACTCAAAATTCACCCAATGATGTCAATGAAGGTGTCAATGAAAGTGTCGATGAATTGACCCCAACTTCTTCTTTTGCAAGGCCCCCAGGAAGATATAAGCAAAAGGAAGCAAAGAGAAAAGGGAAGTCCCAAGATCCGATGAGTGCACAAATTGCTATCGGATTTGCAAGATTGACCGAATGTCATAGCTCTCGGCAAGAAGAAGCGGCCCGAATGCATTCGGCCATGAAGGAAGAAGGGGATATGGAGCAAGAAAGGTTTGAATGTAATTTCATGATGGAGCACCTCAACAAATACACTTTCGAGAGAAAGAAATTCTAATGTGATAAGTAAAAGGAAATTTTGCGAAAGCATGCCACAAGAAGTATATTTCAAGATGATGAATCATCTCAAGGCTATATCCCAAGTCCACCACCAAGTCAATATGGTGGATATCATTATTAAGTTTATGTAGTTTTTGAATTATCGATTGTATTAACTTTATGTGGTTTATGAATTGTCGTTTGTATTAAGAGGAGTGTATTCAATTGGGAATTTAAGACATTTTAATAGATTTATAAATCTATGGATTTTTATGGAGTTTAATTGATTTGTAGAGATTCCATGTAAAATTTTGATTCAATTCTCTCGAAATCTCGTGGGGAGATGCGAGATTTGTGGATGCTTAAAATACACTAGAAAATCTCTCCAATTCCCTCTAATTCCACAAATTTCCCAAATTCTTTAAATTCAAATTCTAATTGAATACACTTGAAATGTTATAAACTTCTTTAAAATTATAATTGAATACACCCGGATTTCTAAAGATTTTAATAAACTATCTTAAAATCCTAATTGAATACACATTGAATTTCAGAGAAGCACTTAAAATCTTGATTGAATACACCTAGATTCATTAAAAGAATTAAAATCCCTCAAAATCTCAATTGAATACACCTCCCTAAGTTTATGTAGTTCATTAATTGTTGTGTGTATTAAATTTATGGCTTATTAATTATTGTTTCTATTAATCTAGATGCCTTCAATAATTATTGTACTTTGATGTACAATAGATGCCTTCAATAATTCAAACGACATTCAATAACTTTGACAACGTACTAGACAAAAGTCTTTGCACAACAAGACACTTCAATTTATTACTAGAAAATACTAACATAGTACATTTAAAATTATTACATAAAATAACAAAACAACACATTTAAATTTAACACAAAAACACATTAATACACCAACATCATCAACGATCGGCGCCATATATCCTCAACCAAATCCTTGGAGAGTGTGCCATGACCTTGAGGACTTTGAATTCTATTTAAACGTCTCATATACTCACTCAATATGACCCTATCATGTCGGGTGTCATATGTGGTAGTAGCGAGATATTCAACATCTCTTGCCATAGCTTTCGCATGTGTATCATCATCCACATCTTCGTCGGAATCTTCTTCAATTTCGATGTACTCATATTCCACAATCATGTTGTGCAAAATTATGCACATCATCATGATTGAATGGAGGTCTTCGGCATGCCACAATCATGCAACCCCTCTAACAATGGTCCATTGAGCTTGTAGGAAAATAATATATTTATAATAAAAACACTTCTAACAAAAACAATACAAGCAAAAGTGTTTCCTTCCAAACGAGCCCTTCAACCAGCCTGGTCACGTGGTGGGGATTAAGATGAAATTGACTTGAGGTTCGTTTTCTAAAGTGTATAATGTTAGGGTTCATTTAAAAGTGCTTTTAAAAAAAACCACCAAATTTGTACTTCTTGTATGAAACACTTCAAAGGCTTTTCCAGGATCCACTTGATTTTTATTAAGGATTAGTTTTTAAAACGTTTTCACCAAAAACGCTTTCAATCATTTTCCATACACTTCCAAAACAAGCCATTTGAGGACTTGGTTTGGCGTCCACAGTGAAAGTTATTAAACCTTGTATTTCCTATTGGTTTCTGATTGGCGGTGGTTTAAATCTGTAACACCCTATTCCCTCTTATCACCATCCAAAGAAAAGTGGCCAACAGGAATTTGAGGTCTCAACAACTAATTCTGGAAAAAAAAATGGCTACAAATCATAAAAGAGTGAATTTTGACAATCATACAACAGTAATTCAACTAAAAAAAGTTACAGACGTCGGAGTAACATCCCGGCCAAATCGCTTTTAATGTTTTAAGTTAACATGATATTCTGAAAGGGATACGAAAATATGCAGCACATCATCAAAACCGAACATCTCCGGGCAGTATTGGCTTAAGGCCAGGACTCAGTCTCGCTCACTTATAGCAGTCAAGTGCTCATCAATCTCTTCGGTGGACAGCACTCTGAAGACTGGATTCTCCTTTACCACCACTCCAACCTGAAAATGGCAATGGAAAAGTACCATACATTTTATTTGATAAAAGTTACTGCTGCTGCAAATGCATTATAATATCATCACCATCGCGATACTCAAAATTTACCATATATTAAATTCCCAGTTACAAAGGGTTTGGCATATAATGCCCAAATTTTTACGCATTTAGGGGCGTGACATTGATAGAAATTAAGATATACAAAACCATTAAACATAGGATATTGAAAGTACTTTGCAAAGCAGTTTTCCAGAGAGATCTCACACAACGACAATTTTTACCCTAGAAAATGTAATTAACAGTACAGACTCCTGAGTAGTAGATAGTACACTTCGAAGGTATACGATGCCCAACTGGAAGCAGGTCGCTACAGAAGATGCCAAACTAGATTATTTTCAGACCCTCTTAGGCTCCTATGGAAAATGGAAGACTGAAGGGAAACAATTGACTTGGATCTTCAGAGGCCTATGGAATAAAGCACTTATGATCCCAAAGTAATAAATTAAATTGCCTTAGTAAAAGTTATGTGATATACTGTTAACACTCAATAGAGTGCCATGTCAGGACAAGGTAAAACCTATGTGGGAATATAATGTCATATCATACGAGCAATGAAAAGTTTATTACCGGTATGTCAATAATGCATTTAAGGTTCCCATCACAAAACAGTAAAACTTCGAACACTATAAGGGGGGTTTCAAATACCTCAATTTCAGTGGCCTTGAAATCCTCTTGCAGAACTGATTGCAGGGCAGAAATACAAGTCTAAAAATGAAACAAATATGCGAAGTTAGAGAAGGAACCCAAAATAGCATTATTATTATTATTATTAGCATTGACATTCCTACTCTTGTTAACTATGACATAATCATAGTTCAATAGCTAACAGCCATCAAAATCTCCAGAATAAATTTAGTCTAACAATATAATATCTTATGCACCCTGTTCAAGATATTTTGATAAGAAACATCTACCTGCACAGTCTCGTCATAAGAGAATGAAGGTTCATTCTTCATTTTCTTCTCCAAGAAATTAATGGCCTCTTGCTCTTTCAATCCAGCACTTGTCGCCTAAGATGCATAATAGTTGATCAGTTGAGAACTAGAACCATAGGGCGATGCTCTAAAACAGACAGATATAACTATGGCAGAGTAGAGCTAATAGTGATGTCTCAAGATAATACATTGTTTGATGTCTCAAGATAATACATTATTCACTCTTTGTTGAAACTATCTACATATTACAGTGGTGCAAATTAACCTTTGTGCTTTCTATAAATGAAAAAGTATGCACTAAAGAGGGAAAAAAACTGAATGAGTGTCTGTTAATGAGAACCAAAATAGGGGTTGCTGCATACTTGAAACTTGTGGAGGTTCTGATGAAAAATTCATTGATATTGCATATTTTGAGTTCTTCATATTGAGCTAATGAAAAGAAATATTATTGGCACATTACCTTGTGACCAAAATAATGGCCAGCTGGGTCGCACTTGTAGAGCTGAGGTCCAACCTCTTCATCAATACCCAAAACCATAGCCACTACGAAAGCAAACATAAATTGTAGACAAATGATAGCATCAGTGGAAGTGCAAAGGCAATTCATCAAGTTATATAGGGTGGATGATGGAAGAGAAACAATTAATATGCATTATTGCATGATGTACTTTTATGCAAGACAAAAAGGTTATTAACTGCCATAGGAAGGACTGGATACTGACCTACTCCCAGTGGTCTCATATAAGCATGTTGAGTATATATTTGTGATTTGTCTGCAATCCTGTCATACAAATGATATCAATAAAAGGTCCAATTTGGTGTCAGTCCTTGCTCTAAGACTTTGAGTACTTTTAGAGAAGATTTCCCCCTGCTGGGGAGAAAAATGCTTTGCTTTTGGGCATTTTAATCTAAGATCCTTGCCTTGAGATAACAAATGAGAACACATATGCCAACCAAAAGAGGATCACCTAGACATTGAAACCAAAAAACTTTAACCTCAGGAAATGATTCCCTATCTTTTGACTAGAAGTCGCAAATCCCTTGAATTCTAAGCTTAAACAGAAAATGCAATTGCCATGACCTCACTATGAATTCTTGGCCCCACACCAAAAGGAATCTTGGTGGTGGAATGAGGAGGTACAAACAAAGGTGAAGGCTAAGAAGGAATGTTGTAAAGCCTTATACAAAGAGAGGACCGATGAAAATGGTGAAAGGTATAGAAAAGCGAAGCAAGAGGCGAAGAAAGCGGTCAGAGAAGCTAAGTTAGCGGCTTACGACGATATGTATAAACGACTAGATACCAAAGAAGGAGAGTTGGATATCTATAAACTAGCTAGAGCAAGGGAAAAGAAGACAAGGGACCTAAACCAAGTGAGGTGCATCAAGGATGAGGATGGAAAGGTTCTTGCTACAGAGAACGCGGTTAAAGACAGATGGAGAGGTTATTTTCATAATCTTTTCAATGAAGGACATGAAAGGAGTGCTTCTTTAGGGAGTTGAGTAACTCAGTAGAGTGTAGAAACTACTCTTTTTATCGTCGAATCCGGAAGGAAGAAGTGGTTTGTAGCTTTGAAGAAGATGAAGCATAGAAAAGCAATAGGCCCAGACGATATACCAATCGAAGTGTGGAAAGTTTTGGGAGAGACAGGTATAACATGGCTCACTGACCTTTTCAATAGGATTTTGAAAAACGAAGAAGATGCCAAATGAGTGGCGAACGAGCACTTTGGTGCCTATCTACAAGAATAAGGGCGACGTACAAAATTGCATGAACTATAGGGGTATTAAGTTAATGAGTCATACAATGAAGCTCTGGGAGAGAGTCATTGAGCATAGATTGAGGCAAGAGACACGGGTTTCGGACAACCAATTCGGGTTCATGCCAGGGCGCTCAACCATGGAGGCAATCTATCTCTTACGAAGATTGATGGAAAGATATAGAGATGGGAAAAAAGATTTACACATGGTCTTTATAGATTTGGAAAAAGCGTATGATAGGGTCCCAAGAGACATTCTTTGGAGGATCTTAGAGAAGAAAGGAGTACGAGTAGCATATATCCAAGCTATAAAGGATATGTATGAAGGAGCAAAGACTGCCGTAAGAACTCATGAAGGACAAACCGAAAGCTTTCCCATAACTGTAGGATTACATCAAGGCTCATCCTTAAGTCCTTACCTTTTTGCGTTGGTAATGGATTGAGTAACAGGACATATTCAAGATGATTATTCCTTGGTGTATGCTTTTCGCAGACGATATAGTGTTGATAGATGAAACTCAGGAAGGGGTAAATGCAAAGCTTAACCTTTGGAGAGAAGTGTTGGAATCTAAAGGTCTTCGCCTAATCCGATAAAGGCAAATCGAGTTCAGCAATAAAAACGAGAGGTATCAAGCAACAGTGAGTTTTCGTTAGGGATCATCTTGCAAAAAACGGAGTTAGGGAGTGATCAGAGGATCAAAGAAATACCAAAGAGTGACCGTTTTCGTTACCTAGGATCTATCTTGCAAAAGAACGGAGAATTAGAGAGGTCAACCATCTTTGTTGTGGGCGTAAGTGGCACTGTGAAGCTCAAGGGAAAGGGAAAATTTTATAGGACGGCAATAAGGCCGGCGATGCTGTATGGCACAGAATGTTGGGCGGTGAAGCATCAACACGTACACAAAATGGGTGTAGCGGAGATGAGGATGCTTCGTTGGATGTGTGGGCACACGAGAAAGGATAAGATTAGGAATGAGGATATCCGGGGTAAAGTAGGAGTAGCCGAAATTGAAGGGAAAGATGAGAGAGAAAATCGGTTACGGTGGTTTGGACATGTGCAAAGAAGGCCTACTGACGCTCCGATTAGAAGATGCGACTATGGGGACAGAGGTTCAGGGCCGAAGGGGTAGAGGAAGACCTAGGAAAACTTTGGAAGAGACTCTAAGAAAAGACTTAGAGTACTTGGATCTAACGAATGACATGACACAGGACCGAGCACAATGGCGTTCTAAAGATTCATATAGCCGATCCCACTCAGTGACTTGGATTTTCCAAGTCTCCAACCGAGAAGTTTTCCTCACTCGAAAAATTAAGGGAACACTACCCCAACCTACATGCTCCACTCAGAAAGCTTCAACATACAAGCTTCAACAAAAGAAAATTCAAAGAACTTAGCGAAGAAGGCTTTGGTGTATTTAACACAATACGTTGAAATGAAGGAGGAAAACTTATTTATTGATATCCCCGATAAGCTACAAATATGTACATATACATGAGTCAAAATAAACAAACAAGATGGAGCCTTCACAAAGGTTGCTTAGGAGAAGTCTCAGCAGTCGGTAGAGCCCCAGAAGAGAAGAAGGCATCGGAGGGGGATCATTCGGAGCCTCAGTACTGGACAGAACCCTAGAAGGATGAGGCATCAGAGGTTGAGCTTCATTTGGACGCTTCATTAACGCGGTACAGCCCCCAGAAGCGACGAAGGCAATAAAATGCCTTTGGAAAAAACCACAAATCTCTGATGATCAAGTAAAACCTGACCATCAGTTTCCTTATTCAAGCTTCTCTCATGTTTGTCAAGCATCTCCATCATGTGTGCGAGCCGGTGCAACTGTTTATTCTCATGCTTGAGCCCTCTAATCTCCTGAGAGACTCATCATCACTTCGGCAGACTCAATGATTCAACTTCGGCGCCAATGATTAGGGGCGGGTTCGAGCAAATAGGCGTTGGGCCATATTAGACACAGAACCTGCACACTGAACACTGAGAGCCAGTGAATCCTTAACAGCTAACTCATCAGACCGTTTGGAAAGTAGTCTGTTATCTTTGGGAATGAGAATGAAGAAGGTTCCTGGCCACCACCGCAGCGGTCATATCATTCTTCATCACGGAATCCCCAACGGTAAGAGGACCAGTAGGGGAGACGAAGGATGGGCGCCATATGTTGTCTGGAGAAGGCGGGCTGCCTCTTCAACAAGGTTCAAGTCAAAACGACGGTCGGAGGGGCCAGACATTTTCAAAGGTATTGAAGAGAGAAGAGGTCGGACAAATCAAGATCTTAGAAGTGCAAGAATGGAGAGCTTCTACTGGTGGAGATTCAAGTGTGCTTTGGAACTTAATGCCAGCCCCTATAAAAAGCTGCACTCGACGGAGCTTCAGACATCGAAGAGGCGCCTGCTCAGAAATCGAAGAGGCGTTTGCTTTCTCAAAAGCTGGGGCTGCTTAGAGACCACGAGGGTTGATCTCATAAATCGAAGAGGTGTTTGCTTTCTCAAAAGTTGGGCTGCTCAAAGACCACGAAAGCCGATCTCAGAAATCGAAGAGGCGCTCGCTTCCTCAAAAGCTGGGCTCCTCAGAGACCACGAGGGCCGATCTCAGAAATCGAAGAGGCACCTACTTTTCCAGCCTTGTCAGCACCTGTCACACGCACACTCAGCTTTGCAGAAATTATGGGTATTCTGTCGAAGACTTCTGGGGAAGTAGAAAACACATGAATCTTACTGTCCAATCACCCACTTCCCACACGCAGCAATAGCTCATGGGTACCACAGATAACTTTGCCAAAGTTCTCTGCCAAAGTTGAGCACGTGAAGCTTGCAGCTCCCACTACATCGCTCTGACCAAGAAGGGTAAAAGAATAGCAAAGAAACAGCACTAACAAAGTTTAGACCTATTACCTACAAGGGTAAAGGAACAGTACCACTGTTGGATAATTGGAAAGTCCCTGTGTGTCAACCTCTGTGCCTCGTGGCAAGGTAGACTAGCAAACATGCCCAACCTTTACTCACATTCGAGAAAACACTCCCAATAAGATTGCTTGCTCCAAAATCGAAGAGGCACCGTCCTCCGAATCTCGAGAGCCAGACTCCCAACATGACTACTTTCTCAAAAATCGAAGAGAGGGTAAAGGAACAGTACCATTGCTGGATAATTGGAAAGTCCCTGTGTGTCAACCTCTGTGCTTCGTGGCAAGGTAGACTAGCAAACATGCCCAACCTTTACTCACATTCGAGAAAACACTCCCAACAAGATTGCTTGCTCCAAAATCGAAGAGGCACCGCCCTCCGAATCTCGAGAGCCAGACTCCCAACATGATTACTTTCTCAAAAATCGAAGAGACACTGCTCCCCGAATCTCGAGAGCCAGACCCCCAGCATGATTGCTTTCTCAAAAATCGAAGAGGCATCGTTCTCCGAATCAATCGAAGAGGCGCTCGCTTTCTCAAAAGCTGGGCTGCTCAGAGACCACAAGGGCCGATCTCAGAAATCAAAGAGGCACCTTCTTTTCTAGCCTTGTCAGCACCTGTCACACGCACACTCAGCTTTGCGGAAATTATGGGCATTCTATCGAAGACTTCTGGTGAAGTAGAAAGCACATGAATCTTACTGTTCAATCACCCACTTCCCACACGCAACAATAGCTCATGGGTACCACAGATAACTTTGTCAAAGTCTCTGCCAAAGTTGAGCACGTGAAGCTTGCAGCTCCCACTACATCGCTCTGACCAAGAAAGGTAAAAGAATAGCAAAGAAACAGCACTAACAAAGTTTAGACACATAAATTTTGAAGGTCTAGCTACCATATTATTACCCACAAGGGTAAAGGAACAGTACCACTGCTGGATAATTGGAAAGTCCCTGTGTGTCAACCTCCGTGCTTCGTGGCAAGGTAGACTAGCAAACATGCCCAACCTTTACTCACATCCGAGAAAACACTCCCAACAAGATTGCTTACTCCAAAATCGAAGAGGCACCGCCTTCCGAATCTCGAGAGCCAGACTCCCAACATGATTACTTTCTCAAAAATCGAAGAGACACTGCTCCCCGAATCTCGAGAGCCAGACCCCCACCATGATTGCTTTCTCAAAAATCGAAGAAGCATCGTTCTCCGAATCTCGAGAGCCAGATACCACATACCACTTTTTCAAAGTGCTCTGACAGAGTTAAAACATGTGAAGCTGGCAGCTCCCACTACCGTGCTATGACCAAGCAGGGTAAAGGAATAGCATTACTACTTGTTGTTAGGGAGACTCCTATATATGTCGACCTCCATCCCCAACGGACATGCAGACCTGCAAAAATGCTCAACCCTTCCTCATATCTGAGAGGGCACTCCCAACGAAGCCTTTCGAAATATTCAGCTTTCTTTCCCCCCGATAATACCTCTGCAAACAAGCTATACTAGAGCAAGAATATCTCATATCATCAGGGTTAAAAGCAAGAGTATCCCATATCATGCTTTTTCCCTGTCTTTTCCTTTGGCCTTGTTTTTACCTGCAAGACAAGGAGAAAGAGAGCAATCAGTCAACACTTGAAATCAAGCTCCCAGCCAGGAACTGACAGCCTGGAACCCCTTACCTGATTACTTACCTGGCATTGCTCTCGAGTACTCATCTTCAACATCTTATGTTGCCAGGGAAGATACCGCATCTGCTTGAGGAACAGATAGGGCAAGTGCGAAGGATACAAGGAAGCATGTGGAGACAAGCGTAACAGCACACGTGCCGATCCATCCATTACTCTGTCAAAAGCAAAAGTATCCCATATCAGCAGGGTCGAACGTACTCTAGATTTTGATGGACTTGTTTTGACCCTCAAATTCTTCAGTCGGCCTTATACTCTGGAGGAAACCAGAAAACCCTCCAGCTCAGTTCAAGAATAAGCCTGTGGAAAGTTACTTCTTCAAAAGCAAAAAAGTATCCCATATCATCTCTTCTCATTTTTCTTCTCTTTATCCTTCATGCTGCTGCAAGATGGGGAGAAGGTGAACAATCAGCCGGAGCTCTGATTGCTTACCTTGTCTGTCACCTCTTTCAGCAAATCCCCTAGCTCGGCGACTTGGGGGACTCCTACTACATGGTTTGTATCGCGCTTGACCAAGCCTGAAACTACAAGTAAGCTTCAAGTGAAAATTGATACATTACCTTGTGCATCTCCACCAGTTAAAGATACCACCCCTGGATGGAGGAAGAGTACTTCCAGAGAAGCTGCCACATCTACCTATGAGACAGATAAGGCAAGTCGATACCACACTCCGATACTTAGAAGTTTCGTGATTACGAGATCATTCTCCCACAACATTTCCTAATGTCATTTGTACTCTAATGTCATTTGTACTAAATCATTCACTTGTACTCACTAAAGGAGAGCTTGAACCTATGTACTTGTGTAAACCCTTCACAATTAATGAGAACTCTTCTATTCCGTGGACGTAGCCAATCTGGGTGAACCACGTACATCTTGTGTTTGCTTTCCTATCTCTATCCATTTATATACTTATCCACACTAATGACCGGAGCAATTTAGCGAAGATCACAAAAAGCGACCGTTTTCGCTACCTAGGATCTATCTTACAAGAGTACGGAGAATTAGATGGAGATCTCAACCATAGAATACGAGCTGGATGGATGAAGTGTAAGAGTGCATCCAGCATGTTGTGTGACCGTCGTAGGCCACTGAAGCTCAAGGGAAAATTTTATAAGACGGCAATAAGGCCAGCGATGTTGTTGTATGGCACAGAATGTCGGGCGGTGAAACATCAACACGTACACAAAATGGGTGTAGCAGAGATGAGGATGCTTCGTGGGATGTGTGGGCACACGAGAAAGGATAAGATTGAGAATGAGGATATCCGAGGTAAAGTAGGAGTAGCCGAAATTGAAGGAAAGATGAGAGAAAATCGGTTCCGGTGATTTGGACATGTGCAAAGAAGGCCGACTGACGCTCCGGTTCGAAGATGTGACTACGGGACAGAGGTTCAGGGCCGAAGGGGTAGAGGAAGACCTAGGAAAACTTTGGAAGAGACTTTAAGAAAAGGCTTAGAGTACTTGGATCTAACGGAGGACATGACACAAAACCGAGCGCAATGGCGTTCTAGGATTCATATAGCCGACCCACTTAGTGGGAAAAGGCTTTGTTGTTGTTGTTGTTGTTGTTGAGGAGAAAGGAACTAGATTTTTAAGTAATGCAGGTATCACTTGCATACTTACATGTGAGAGAGAGAGAGAGAGAGTGACAGAGAGAGGCATTTAAAATACATCTCTACACAGACAGTTTGTAATGAAGTAAACCAAATAATAAGCTATCAGTTACGGCAACTATAGAATCAATGGGACCAGGGAATCCATTATGGTGTTCATCATACTACATATCCAATTAAGAGGAAGGGGTGAACAATTCTTACTTGAACTGGTAAACTCAACAAGACTTGCACAAAAAAATAAAAAAGGCCTAAATAAGTGCTAAACATAAAATGGATAAAAGTAAACACTCTAACTGAAAATATAATACAAGATAGGAATACTGACAAACTGTATGCTAAAAGTTCAGTTGTATTATAGGATAGCATAATAGTGTATAAACACTTAAGGTGATTACCATTTAGCCAACACATCCACAGGCATCTCGTATCCATATTTGAAACGAAACTCAGCTGCTTCATTCCTTGCTTGTGAAACGAGGGTCCTCGCATCAGCTACAAAATTACATGTCAAGAGGATGAACCAAATGTGAGTTTTTGAACTACAAAAGAACCGCACTTTCGCCCAAAAATCAAATGTTGGAGTTAGAGATTCCAACAAATTTCAAAGAAGAAGCAAAAAGGAAACCTGTCATGCCAGTAGCCAGCAACCCTAGGAACTTTGTGATGGGGAAAAGATGTGTGACACTTGTCTGATCCAAAAGCTTGTCCTGCATTAATTTCATGATGTATTTCCAACCAGCAGATATTCAGATCATGGTATAATACAGACTCAGTTATATTAATCAACAATACTCACCGGGACTTTCTTCTGAGTCACAACACATACGGAGTCCTTTCCCCGGACACCAATTGAGGTGATCCCAGCAGCCTTAACAGCCTTAAAAGCATACTCTATCCAATCGTCAAAAAACCAAACTCAGAACACAATCTCCTTATATGCTATTCAATATTGACATAAAAATTTATCTTAATGTTACACCCCAGGCACATAAAATCAATAAAATAGTGAGATTTAAGTTGGTAATTATCCTATTTTCCTCAGATTTCTAAGCATCCAACAAAGGGATCAAGTTCAATAGTCAAAATTAAGTCCACTATCTGCTCGTGACTCCAAGAAACCGAAACCCATACAAATTGAGCTACTTCATTTGACTGATGTATAAATTGAGCTAGCAAATTTACACACCGACCAGAACCCAATACAACTTCTATCCTTTTTCCTTCTCTTTCTAATCTGAACGAGATTCATAATCTTGAATTTCTCCCCTCTTATCCCCAGATTTCAGCATTAAAACAAAATAATAATAATTAAATAATTAAATGGGTTTTGATCTCGGTGACCCATAGAACCCTAAAAAACCAAAAACCCACAAATATGCCCTATTTGAGGAACTTCCCAAGATTCAAATCGGAGAAATCGCACAGGAGGTATTGGAGATTATCACATACCGACTTGGAAGAGACGACCTTCGGGTGAGAAAATCGTGATGTGGCGATCGTATCCGCCTCCGCTTCCTCGACTCATGCTTAAACTGCTTCAAAATGCTGAGCTTCTGCTTCTTCTTCTTCTTCTTCCTCTCTGGTTTTAGGGTTCCTCCTGCTTCGCGTATCAGACTGTAATGGCTACTGCGAGTCTGCGAGCGAGAGGGATTTTAATTAGAGGAGGAATCAATGAATGCTTTTTGCCCAAGTTAGCTGAGTGTTGAAATTCGATGAGCCATACGACGGCGTTGCATAGGGCGGGCTTTGCGTGGTGGATCTCAATGTTACTTGTATCTCATTTTTTTGGGCTGAGCCCAGAAAGTAAAGATGGGCTAAAACTTTGGACCAGCAAGCTTAAGAAAATACTTGAATCACAAGTCCAAATAAAAAGGTTTCCTCTTAGGACGTGTTTATTAAATAAGAAATGAATGAGAACGTAGAAATAAAAGAAAAATAATTGATTTGACTTCTGATATATAGGTATTTAATTATCTAAATTACATATTAATAAAATTCACTTTATCAACCAATAATCAATGAAATTACAATTATAACCCTTAATACATAACTAAAAAATGTGGAAAAAGAAAAAAAAAATGGGGTATTAAGTAATTTCGAACAAACCACTTTTGGCTTCTACTATCCTCTAAAATTAAAATATAAACCGTACCTAACAAAAACTGATCGCATGATATACAATGAACATACACAATTGATTGATTTTCCAAATCTTCACAAAGAGAATCCGAATATGATCCTCGCGTCATCTTCAATCAATCAAATGATCGAATATCTACTTGTCCTTAGTGCCAAAATTAAATGAATCCATCGCTTGTGGTAGGTCTCCTCTTTAGTCAACATTTAGAAATTTGACAGCCAAAAATCCAAACCTCGCTGGAGACGTAGACTTCGAAATAGGTATCACTCAATTCTCAATTCTCAAGTGGCATGCCACATAACTTTATGAATTTCTCAATTATAAACGGGAAGAGATCCTCTCTCCGGATCTCTCCCACTAAAGTCCACCAATTAATTAATTCAGACATTTGAAATTTGATCTAACAATTAAAATTATTATAATTTTTAAAATGGCTCTTTGTTTTTAGTCATTTGATCAAATTTCAAGAGTTTGTATTAATTGATTGGTGGGTTTTGATGGGAGAGATCTTGAGGGGGTCTTTTCCCATTATAAACCTACACATGTCAGATGTTGTTCAATGTTCATTTGGACATTGTTACTTGTTAAGGAAAATTCCAATTTACCCAAAAAATAATAAGGCTTTTTAATCAAAATGGTTCATGAACTTTGCATAACTCCTCACTTTGGTCCCTTAGATTTGAAATCAATAGAAGTGATCACTAAATTTGTCCACCATCAATCATTTTGGTCATTCCGTGAAAAATTATGTTAAATAAGAATCAAAATGACAAGAATATCCTCAATTTAATAAACGATAGCCCAAAATGATTTGACAAAAAGTAGGAAATTTTTATCATTTAATCCTTCTTTAATGAAGATTTTTCATGAAATGACCAAAATAATTGATGGTGGACAAGCTCAGGGACCACTTCCATCGATTTCAAATTTTAGGAATCAGAGTGTGAAGTTATTCCAATTACAAGAACTATTTTAGCTAAAAAATCAAATAATAATAATTTATTTTTCATCTCTAGATTAATATGCATAAAAAGAGATGAAAAAAAGAGTGCTAAAAAAATAAAGCTATAAGAACAGAAGTGCAACGAACGAAAAACAACTACTCTATAATGTTTCATCTCCAATGGTGAAGGGACTATGTTTTAGTTCCCTCAATATTTTATTATTTTTATATTAAAAAATATTAGGATACAAAGATTATACATCTGCTACTGTGTATTGTTTATGGGCTCGTTTGGATGTGCTACTCTAGAAAGCGCTTTTACTCACTAGCGTTTTTTGTTTGTAGCACTTTTGCGTAGCGCTTTTATGAGGAAGCATTTTGTTGTTTGGCATGCAACCACTAAGTGCTTTTTGTATTGTATATAAATGTTTTTGATATTAAATAGAGTGTTTGGTTATCAAATAAGAAAGCGCTTTTCCTTAATAATTCTCAATAATTTTTTTATAAGTATTTTTTTTGTATATAATTAGCATACAACTTGATTAAAGTGTTGATGAAAATTCAATTAAAGAAATAATGATCATTAACAAAATGATACATAGTTATTGAGAATGCATGTTTGTTTCTTAAAAAAAAAAAAAATTGTAGTTGCATGACAATTAAATATGAAATAAGTATTAACTAGATATAAGAAGATTAACGATTCTTTCTCGTTCAACATCTAACTCTTGCCTATGAGTAAAATTTTCATCAACAATCTCTTCATCTCTATGATCTTCCTCATGTCCAGGCGAAAGTAGCTCATCATCATCATCATAAGGTTGGAACTCTTGATCTGTCATGGAATGATTTCTAATAAAATTATCCAAGGCCATTGAAGCAACAACAAATTGTACCTGTTTTTCAAAAGAGAAGTTACGCATGAGACGAATCATTCTTAATCAACTAAAGATGTCCACAATTAAAGATGTCCACAATTGCCATTCTTTCTTAAGTGATGTCCATTTGTTCTTGAGTTGTTTATGAACATATGACCTTTGAGTAAGGTCATTAAATTTCTTAATAACATTTTTCCATCCAATCCTATTAAGATGACCACTTGTTTGATTTCCGGCCAATGTCTCAGCTACACAAATGCTTATAAATGTCTCAACACTTGCATCATCCCACATTGCCTTGCTTTTTTTTCTCATTACCTTCCCCACGTGCATCTTGTACATCCTTAACTATATTTTTTGACATATCTATGAAGAGAAAGAAAAAAAAAACCATAGCACGTAATAAGAGCATACACCATTACTTACGTCCTAACTAATAACACGAAAGTAAGTTAAAAACAATAATGCATGATTTGTAATCTAATACTTGCTATATAATGCAGTACACCACTGCTTGCAGTATTTGTAAGCTTAACAAGCAACTAATTGTTAAGTTGTTTTAATTGTACATTCGATTTGTATGTGCCCTCGGTTTCTAAAGTTTTTTTTTTTTTGGATTTTAAATTAACAGGTAGTACTAAGCATTTGTCGATGGAGGAAGTTGCTGGCATACATGAGGGATTTAAGCTCATGGATATTAACAAGGGCAAGATTCCTAATGGGGATCTTCATATTATCATGGAAACAGTAATCATCTATATGCATACATACCTCCACAACGATTTCACAACAATTTCGAGTCAATTCACAATGATTTCGACAAAAATAATATATAATCAATAAAATTTTCATACCACATACAAATTTAAGATAAAAAATAACATACATACCTCCACAAAAATTTTAGGTTATGAAGATGTAGAGAGATTTGGGAAGATGGAGAGGAAGAGATGGAGACCAAGTAGATTGCTCTAGCCTTCAAAATAATCTGAAAATAAAAAAACCTTTTGGGTTTTCAACGTGCAACCCTAGAAAAAATTGGTGATGGTAGTTTTGATGATTTTATAAAGTGGAATGGCATTTTAGACTTTGCAAATTAAAAAATAGGGATAATTTTGGAATTGAAAAAAAATTCATTAAAGGAAGCAAAGTGCTTCCCTTGTTTTCTTTGTACAACACTTTTAGGAGGAAACACCTCCCAGGTGCTTCTTAGAAAATGCTTCTTAATGCTTCTACTTCTAGCTAAAAGCACTTTTAAAATGTTTGCTAAACAACCATTTTTTTAGACTGAAGCACTTTTACTCATTATAAAGCGCTTTTGGCTCTTTCAAAAGCACAACCAAACGAGTCATATTAATTAAACTACTATTTACACCTATATAAATACATTTTATGGAACATTTTTTATGTGCTAACAAGGTGTGAAGTTGTAGAATGTAAGATGTAGATTATGTGTTGGGGCGTTTACATTTTGTTTTACAAAGATATGATTTGATTGAAAAAGAAAATTAAAAGCACAAGTGAGAAGGTTGTTAGTACTCTACTGGTTGGCAAATTTCCAATGTTGGGCCATCACCATGGGCCACAGGGCAAACAACAGCGGCCCCATTTCATAAATGACTAGTAACCACCCTTCCAATTGCTAGACGATATCATTGTGAGAAAGTTGCTAGTACTCCGCAAGTTAGGCAAATTTCCAAGTGATGGACCACCACCACCGGCCACACGGCGGGCCCATTTCATAAATGACTAGTGACCACTCTTCTAATCATAATTTGGCCAGACGGTATCATTGTGAGAAAGTTGCCAGTAGTCCGCAAGTTGGGATTTGGATCCTCTCCTGAGATAATGAAGAGATCCTCCTGACCAGTTATCATGAGCCGTTGGATTTTTAAAATCCAACGGCTATAATTATTATAACTTTAAAGGGACCCCCTGTTTGTAACTGTTCGATAAAAATCCAACAGTCCATGATAACTGGTCAGGAGGATCCTCTCCATTAGCTCAGGAGAGGATCCAAATCCCGCAAGTTGGGCAAATTTTCAAGTGATGGGCCACCACCACCGGCCATGGGGCAGACCACGGTGGCCCCGTTGATACATGCTCAGTGACCATTCTCCTAATTTAGAGGTTTGGCCGGACAGTAGCATTGTTGAAGACTTGAAGGTGACATTATAAAGATGTGGTCCTTCCCATATTTTAATCGTGAGGCTTTTGTGGCATTTTCTTAACCACATGTTTCATGAATTTTAGATGTGCGATTTAATACTAAAGTAACATATTCTTTTATTGGATGAAGCTTTTGAGAAAGTTGAAGTCAAGTTTGTTGGGTTAAAGCAATTATTATCTTAATCCCACTAACAAACCATCATCATATTTTTTTGTAAATAATTTCAATATAAAATGAAATAATAATTGGCTTGGTCTAATAATCTAAACATAACTTTCATTGCATATATATTAGGAAAATTAATGAGAATGATTTGAAAATTTTAAGTTTTAACGATAAGGACAAAATAAATGGTGAAGTGAATAGTACTATTTTAATGTAAAAATGTGATTTTTTTTAAATGAACAGTACCGGAAGCTTTTCATTAAAGTTCCTTAAATAATTATCTTCAGCAATAGATATCGCTTTACTAATAAAGTGACGAAAGCAATAATGTTTATACACTCTAGTGAGAGTTTGATCTCCACGGATTTTACGTCTTAATATTTAACAAT